CAGCACTGAGAACACAGCCGTCCCGTCTCCTCCCAGCACTGAGAACACAGCCGCCGCGTCTCCTCGCAGCACTGAGAACACAGCCGTCCCGTCTCCTCGCAGCACTGAGAACACAGCCGCCGCGTCTCCTCGCAGCACTGAGAACACAGCCGCCGCGTCTCCTCCCAGCACTGAAAACACAGCCGTCCCGTCTCCTCCCAGCACTGAGAACACAGCCGCCGCGTCTCCTCGCAGCACTGAGAACACAGCCGCCGCGGAGACCTGCCTGCTGGCGATGGCGTCGTCAGACCTCAGCGAAGACCTGAACTGCTCCTCGTGTCTGGACGCTTTCTCCGATCTCATCACTCTGACATGTGGACACAACTTTTGCCGGGACTGTTTCTTTCACCTGCTGAGTGGCCAGGAACGGGTTGGCGGTGACACCTGTCCTGTGTGTACACCTGTGTTCCCTACGCAGCCAGGCAAAGCGCATTCTCCAGAGCCGCGTGACGCATCATCCGAGAACCCGGAGACCGCCAGCATCTCCTGCACCTTCTGCATTCACTCCCCGGTCCCGGCTGCCCAGTCCTGTCTGCACTGCGAGGCTTCCCTGTGCGCCGGCCACCTGAGAGTCCACACCAAATCACCGGAACACATCCTCACCAAACCCACCAAATCCTTCAGGGAGAGCAAATGCTCCGCCCACAACAAGATCCTGGACTTCTACTGCCGCCAGGACAAGCTCTGCATCTGCCTCTTGTGCTGCGTGGAGGAGCACCGGGGCCACCGAGTCTGCCATTTCCAGGAGGCCTTTGAGAAGACGAAGGAGAAACGGGAATACGCTTCGGAGATTCTGACCGCCGAGATGGAGGAGATCGCGGAGCGGGTGCGGGGCCTGCAGGAGCGTAAGGTGAACGCGCGAGGAAAGGCGGCGGACATCGCGAGGAGAGTCTCCGCCGTGCTCGGCGACGTCCGGAGACAGCAGGACGACCTGGAGAAGAGAATCCTGAGCGACGTCTCCTGGCGGGAACGGCAGATCTGCCTCTCCGTCTCCAACCGGATCCGCCACCTGGAAGAGAGTCGGGACCAGCTGTGCCGGAAGATGGGCGACATGGCGGAGCTGTACGAGACCCCGGACCCCTCGGCGTTCTCCCGGTGGATGACGTCGGAGAACAGCGACCTCCATAAACTTCGGCGGTCCAGCAGCGCCTACAGGAAGGAGGACGCGAAGATGGCCGCCGCCGCCGCGAAGGACTTTGATGAAGCTCTGATCTTCCAGTCCTTGCACGCCACACTGCTGGACGTGGCGACTTCTATCACACGAGGGATCTACGTACAGGAGGTCGCCGACCTGCGGCTGGACGTGAACACCGCCGCCAACAATGTCGCCGTAACCCAGGACTTGAAGGAAGCGTCCTGCCCGGGGGGCGACCAATGTCGGATCGAGAAGGAGGAGCGCTTCGACTTCTCTCAGGCGCTGAGTGTCGGGACCTTCGGGTCGGGGAGACATTACTGGGACGTGGAGGTGGGGGAGTCGGGGAATTTCCGGCTCGGCGTTGCCTATTCTTCCATGGAGAGGAAAGGAGGAGGAGCTCGGATTGGTAACAACGACGTGTCTTGGTGTTTGGGAAAGGAAAGCGATGCTATCTGCTTCATCCACAACACGCAGAAGATCCAGCTGGGGCGCGACCTTCGGTACCAGAAGATCCGGATCTATCTGGATTACGAGGCCGGCCAGGTCTCCTTCTACGAGCTGGGTGACCGCGTCCGCCACCTCCACACCTTCACCGCCAACTTCACCGAGCCCCTCCGCGCCGCCTTCTGTGTATTCCTAACAAGCTGGGTGAGGATTCTGAGCTGAGACGGAGTGGGGGAGGGGGTTGGGTGAGAGTTAAAGTGAACCTGTCAGGGTTAAAATGATGAACTATGAGGAAATGTA